ATCATGTCTCTATTCCTCATCACACTACAGAAGAAAACAAAAGTATCTACTGTATGTAATGAGATGTTTTGTTTATTTGCATTGAGTTTGTATCTAGCGTTAACAGTTGATATGGCAGAAAGTAGAATTTTAAAGTCTCCTGATTTTTAGGTTGATTGCATACGTCAGTACCAAAATCTCCCTGACCACCTGGAAGTATTCCAGCTACCAATGGTGTATTCAATATCAAATAAATGACCCAACAGAATAGGAACTCCCATAAACAGCCACTGCAGGCATGTAGAAACAAACTCAAGCAGAGAAATCACAGCAGGGTCCCTGAGAGAAACACATTTTCAGGTGATTTAACTCTCCATCTTCTACATACCGGGTTAAGTTTCCTGAAAACAATATGTAGTGTCGATAACTGCATTTTGTCTACACAAAAACTAAATCAAGTAAAAAAACTTAAATGGTAATGGTTTCAATGCACTTTTCTGGCTGAGGTGATCTATGATATTTGTGAAGTAAAGTATTCATGGACTTATTTGTTCCATTATGCTTTTATGTGCCCTTTAAACTGAATTTCCTTCGTTCCCGATCTCTATGTGAATTTGCTGAAATGTTCATGCCACAAAGGCGCCGTGAAAGCAGTGTAAGAATGTTGCCATGTGGGCACTGTGAATGCAGTACAGGTGTGTCGCTGCGTGCACACGGCGAATGCAGTGTTTATGTGTTACCATGTGGGAACTGTGAAAGTAGTGTAATGTCAGATCTATTCAAACATTTTATAGCGAAATTATTACAGGAAGAGACTGACCCGACATCTAAAAACTGAGCATTTTCAATAGGGCATAATGGATATTTCTGAATCAGGGGTCAACACATTGACCGCAGTCAACCTATCGATCACATGCATATATGATAGGTAGATTGCAGCTCCACTGCGGCACCAGCCCCTGACACCAGAAGTCCCCCTCGGCTCTGATGAGTTACAAGACACAATTCAGTGGACACCTGGGAAGACTTCCTCACTTTGCCAGGTAACTCTACATTGGTGGTTTGGTGAGTGAATTTTACAGAGGCGGGGGGGTTATGCGGTTTACTTACTCCTGTCCCAGGCACTCCATCACTCGCACCTTACCTCGATTTACCTTCTATTGGCCCCTGTTCTGTGCATTAAATACTACTGACCTCTGAGTTATCTCTGACCCCTGCACTCTGCGTTACATACCTACTCCTAGCTCCTGCACTCTGGGTTACTTACTACTGACCCCTGAACTCTTCAAATATTCTATACTTTTTTTAATACGGCCTTGTTAGGTTATTTCCCAAAAAAAAAAAAAAAAAATTATATGCTGAACCCTGATCTCTTCTATATAGCTCAGGTAGATTACAACCTCTCCAGGGTTGCCTGTTACAGTTCTAGATTCTATACTAAACATAAAACTACAGCCAAATGCCTTATTAGTTTAGAATGGGGAAGGTTTAGATCTTTATTAGGCTGCTATTGCTGGATTTGTCCCAATTTGTAAAGAAAATTCTATAATTTTACAGTAGTCAATTGAACAGACACTAAAGCATAAGTTCACCTTTTGCAATATGTTGCAATCTGACCAGCACTCTCTCCAACAGCTAGCAGGGGCTGTGTGGGGCTCCGTCCACGACACTCATTCATTACAGTCTATGAATGAGAGAGTACAAGTCCCGACGGCCTTAGCGGCTGTCAGCTTATAGTCTTCAATGTGGAACGCCTTGGTAGTTCATGGATTCTTCCTGTCAGTATATCTGCTTGCTTGTACATCCCGTATAAACAAGCAAATATTCAGACAGATCTGCAGGGGACCTGCTGATCACTGGTGCAATGCTTTACAGGCTCCCGCAGACAAAAATGGAAAAAAAAAAAAAAAAAAACGCACATTTTTTTACCCGCAAACAAATGTGCATTTATTAATTTTTTACTAAAAGGTGAACTTATCCTTTAAGTAGAAATCTCACAATAGGGACACCTGTTTCAATGGCAGTGAAGAAGGTAAGGTTTCCCTTCCTTTTCGACTCCATGTATGTGAGCCTACCCTGACCGCCGGTCGCGAGAAAACCACGGTTTCCCGTGGTTAGCGGTCAAAACTTTCCTATCCTGAATGCAGTTATTCCACGTTCAGGAGAGGGAGGTTTAACCTCACCTGAAAACACAGCAGCTCCTAAACTCTGCTAAAAGCCTATGTGTACATGGACACAGGCTTTTATGGAGTTGTATTTAGGAGCTTTGGCAAAAATAAATGCAAAAAGCTCCTAAACTCCAGTTTAGGAGCTACTAGTGTACATGAAGCCTAAATCTCTTGCACAAATAAAGAACCATCACTCTAAAGAATATGAACAGCAACAAAAACCTGAAAGAGGTTCTAACCCTTACTGTAGTGACAAATACGAAAAATGTTTTACTAGTTGTTCCACTTGAATGAATTTAGTGAACACGATTTGTTAAAGTAGAATTCTATCCTAAACCTAACTAGTCTCATCAAAATGTCCCCTTCCCCATCCCAAGACCTAGTTGGACTAACCTGTTAAAGATGTATATACAACTATTTTCAGCTTGCTTCAGTCACACGATCAGGCTTCCCTATGTTAGACAACAGCGGCTGGAGAGGAGGGAGCACAGACAATAGCTAGGATATGGGAGCCCATGGGTGACGTCACCACGCCTACGCACTCCAGCCATTGTTAAGTAATCTCTCCTCCTCCCTGCAGCTGGCTAACAGAGGGGATCACGTGACCGGACATGAGCAGGCTGAGAATAGGTAGTATATACATCCCCCCCACACACACAGGTTAGTCGACACAGGCACTAGGAGGGGACATTTTTAAGACTTGTTAGATTGAACCTGGAATTCAACTTTAGATTTCTCACTGTCTTGCTTTACAGCATCAACATGATCACAAATGCAGTTAATTAAAATAATAAAACACAACAGCTGTGATATAAATCATAAAAATCTTGTTACCAATAGTGTGCAGATTACTTTTATCTATCAATTCACAATAAATTGATGACATCACTATAGCACATCTTGATAAAGTGATGATCGCCAAATGCCTGAGAGTTGAAATCTGGCAGGGAATAATTGCTGCTATAGATGTAAGAAGAGGTACATGTTTTATGAAAGATCATGCTGTGCAGAACCAAAAGGGAACAATAAAACTAACATTACCAAGCCTAAGTAAGATAAGTGGCTCTGCGAAGCATATAACATGTTATTTTAAGATCTATGCTTGTTATGTGCAGTACATAGCTGCATTCAGCTTTAAGCATTGAAGATTTGATTACTCTTGGTTTAAAGAGTTCAATTTGAATACAATTGTTTTCCTCGGTATATAAGTAAAACAATGCATGCAGTTTTAAAAAGGGAACATCCAAGACTGGGTAGTCATAATGGAAGTTTGAGGCAAGATGAAGATTTTTTTTCTCTTAAGCTTCAACCAACCTCAAAAAGCATAACTGTTCGCATAAAGGTTGCGATGTAACATCAGCCCGATCGGCAGCCCTAAAACACAAAGCCCTCTGGTAGGAACATTACAGCCAGCTTCCAAGTTTAAGAAATGGCCTTACACCTGCAACCCAGGGGGCCTCTACCAGTGATGGGGAAACCCCAGGGTTGGTGTCACCCCTCCGATGATCCCTGCAGGATGGCTCAGATCTGCGGATTGAGCATAATGGATCGAAGTCCACTCCATTACGCTCCCCAATCCACAGATCCGATCCATCCTGCGGGGATCGTCGGCTTGCAACCTATATGGGGGTTAACTGATCTCTCCACAAAAAGGTAAGTTTTAAAGCAAGCCGATGATCCCCGCAAGATGAATCGGATCTGCAGATTGGGGAGCATAATGGATTGGACTCTGATCCATTATGCTCAATCTGCAGATCCAATCCATCCTGCAGGGATAGTCGGCTTGCTTTAAAACCTACCTTATCGTGGATCGTGGAGAGATCAGTTAACCGTGTATAGGTTGCAAGCCAACAATCCCCTCAGGATATATTGGATCTGCGGATTAGGGAGCATAATAGATCAGACTCCAATCCATTATGCTCAATCTGCAGATCCGATCCATCCTACAGGGATCGTCGGCTTACTTTAAAACTTACGTTTTCGTGGAGAGGGTCCCGGTCTCACCCCCGTGCGATAGGTGTCACCCAGTGCGGCACGCACCCCCGCACCTGTCTAGGGACACCACTGGGAAAACCCCCAGGTTTCAGGGCTGTCAAAAAGCCAAGGTACCTGGAATGCCTATGTTAGAGCACTGTCACTTCTCCAACTTGTAACCACAGTTATGCTTTAAAGTTGAATGCAACGCTATCTTAGCTCTCTAAAGTACTCAGCTCTGTCTAGCTATATCAAATATATATATACGAAGGATATTAATAAGGAGCATATGTGGCATAATTAGGATGCAAGCCAAAGTAGATGGAACCTGTAAGGTTAGAAATGTGGAAGATGGGATTGCCAACTATCACTCTGTGGTTTTACCAACTAGTGAGTTACCGACCTGGACAAAGATGCAGAACAGGGAGTTTAGACTTCTTTAGCTACATGCATGCCCAAGTTAGTAACATACTAGACCACGGGTGTCAAACTGGCGGCTCTCCAGCTGTTGACAAACTACAAGTCCCATGAGGCATTGCAAAATTGACAGTCACAAGTATGACTCCTAAAGGCGGGGGCATGATGGGACTTGTAGTTTGGCAACAGCTGGAGGGCCACCAGTTTGACACCTCTGTACTAGACCATAAAACCAAAATTCAGGGTGATCAAACCAGAAGAGGTTTTAAAAACAAGCCAGGAACAGCAAATGATCCAGATTTCTATCCTCACAGGTTCACGTAACACACTGGCAGAGGAACATATTAGTGTTAATAATTAGAATATAGGTGAGAATAGTATGAACCAGCAAAAAAGCTCATCAGTAGCATTATTACTTTGAATATGTGCAAGTGTGGTAGAATGCACTGTGCCCATTGTCTTTTAAATACTCTCCATGGCTTTAAATTCACTAAGAGCCTGCACAGGATTCACATGTTTCTTCTGAGATGCTCTTTTAATTTTAGTTTGGGTCTCATCTTGCTTTTCTCTCTTGACAAGTGGCTTTTTCTCCGGGGCCTTCATTTTCCAGGACACTGCAGGCAAGTTTAATGATGCCATGCCTTGTGATTTTTGATATTTTGTAGAAGCCACATAAGACGCTTTAACAGTTTGCACCACAGCATTCATCAAGTTCTTAGCAGCTTGTATCAGTGACATGGCACTGTCAGCTCCAGAGACAACTAACTCACCACCAAGATTCTGAACTTCGGCTTTAACTTTGCTGCAGATGTTTAACTGGTGGCAGTATAAGGAAATGCGCTGAAGGTATGCCAAAAGGTCTTGTTTGCAGGTAGAATCAGGGCAGTGGTCAGCAATAGTACGGCCCAATTTGTCCATTCGTGATCCAGCTTCTGCAATTTTCTTTGCAGCACCTATGACATCTGAAGCATTTTTAAGAGGCCCCTTCCCTCTAGTAAAATCGGTCATCTCCATCATGATCATGCACATCTGCTTGGCCAAAACAATGATGTCATTGCCGCTATCATCCCATTTGGATACTTCAGCGTCAAGCTTAATTTTTTCTTCTTGGAAACTTGCAACTTGTTCTGCAATCTTTGCCTTTTGCTCCTGAGGCAGCTGAGCCATAATTGCTCTAGCACTCTGCCCTGCAATGAGCTGGTCATCCTCAGTCTGAATGCTGGTATGGCTTCTCACATCAATGTCATCTGCCTCAAAATCAGAATCATCCAGCTCTTCCGGAGTTCTGATCATTAAAACAGCTTTTCTGATGTCACGAATACCATCATACACAAGTCTGGAGGCATCAATAAATTCATTTTCTTCTACGGGGTGATTCGGATCTCGAATGAGAGCATTAACGACAGTTTCCACTTGTTCTGCAAAGCGTGGCATAACCGTGTCTGATAACAGTTTAGAAGCTTCCAAAACTTTCTCTGTGTAAATACCTGCCTCGTAGTTTTCCATTTCCGAAATGACAACATGCATGACTCTGGCAGCACGACCACGTATGACTCCTGCAGTGCGATCCAGCCCGTCAATGTCTCTTTCCTGCAGGGCTATGACACATTTGTTGACATCTTCTAAGATGTGATTTTCCGAGACAGACAAAAAGTCATCAATGGAAGTGATGTCATCAACTGCATCAGTAAGGATGCCAACTTGCTTTTCCCATTGTTCCTTGAAAATATCCATATTGTCCAAAGCCACTTTACTGTGAGGCTTGGCTGCTAAGGCCAACGCGGCATTAATGACCTGAGGGCAGAGCGCTTCTAGCTGGTTTGCAGAGACGCGGACAATTTTAACCCCATCCTCATTGTTGGAGATGGAGCACGCCAGGTTTGCCACTTCGATCAATTTAGTTGCGTGTTCACGAAAAACTTGGGCATACTCTTTAACTTCCTTTTCATTCCCGTTCTTGGCAGCCTCGATCAGAACCAGAAGTGGCACGTTGGTCTCCAAGAACGAGTCCGAGACGTGGTCCATGACGGCTTTACACAGCTGCCTGCGCAGGTCTCTGGTCTTCCTGACCATTTTATCGATGGCGGCATTAAGGACGTCGGTTCTTTCCTTGCGCCCAGAATTCGTCATGTATTCTGAGAGGAGATCCTGCAAGGCTTGCCTGACCAGATTACATTCGGCCACGATGCGCTCGCGGCGGTCATCCCGGGTGCAGGTGGAATCCGCCATCAAGGCCGCCCCACTGATGATACTCTCAAGTCTTTCCTCTAAAGAGGGACGGAATTTCTCTTCTGTGAAGCCTATAGGATCCATGATGATCTGTTTATCGAAGTTGTTGAGGGCCACGGCCAGCTCTCCTCCCTGTGGGGCTGGGCTCTCCTCGGATGGGGTGGCCTGGGCTGCATTGCTGATGGCGGTGATGGCTTGCTGCAGCTGCTTGTAGATCAGATCCCGGTTGGCTCTGTAGGCGGCCACATCGGGGTGCAGCAGACAGGCCTGGGAGGCGGTGTGGAGGAGGGGGACGTTCTTCAGCAGGACTCCCCTGGCGGCGGCCATCTGATCCCGGTGCCCGCTGTCCTTCAGCTCCTGCTGCCGCTTAGCGCTCATTGCATGCAGCTTCCCCAGCTCACCGTTCAGGGCTTTGTACTGGATGGCCAGATCGTGCTCGGTACCGGCATTCCGCAGCCTCAGCAGCCCGTCCTCCACCACCTTCAGCTGCATCAGCACCTTGTAGACGTCGGCCATGTCTGCCAGGATCAGCAGCCGGGTGACGGCGGACAGGAGGCTGCGGGCGGCCCGGACCACATTCCCCCTCTTCACCGACGAGCACGGGTCATCCGCGAAGTCCCCGGACGCCGCCCTCATGAGCTCGCCCTGGGAGCGGACCTCTTCCACGGCGGCGGCCAGCTCGTCCCGCAGGAACTGGCTCTCCTTGGCGATCTTGTCCCCCTTCTCCAGGAAGTTCTGGGTGGCCTGCTCCACCGAGGCGGCCAGCACCCGCGCCTTCTTCGAGCGGCCCTTCTTCTTCGCGGACGGCCCTTTGTTACTGCTGTTCACCAGGGTGGTCACCTGACTCACCAGCGGCTCCAGCAGCCGCTCCACCGCCACCGTCCGGATCTCCAGGCTCTTCGGGTTCCATTTCAACGTAATGTTCGCCGTGGGAAGGCTCATGGTGGCCCCGCGCTCGGTCAGCTACGGCGGAGGTTGGGAAACGAATGACTTGCTCCAGGACACGGCAGCCGGAAGATGAAGGAGGGGCGCCTCCCTACTGCCTCCGTTATCCCGAGTATCGGTCTGACGTCATTTCCGGATCACCTACGGCGCCCGGCCTCCCCCACTCCAATGCTGTCTCACCTCCCCACTCCACTGCTGCCTCACCCATTCCGCCTCACCATCCTCCCTTTCTCCAATGCCTCACCTCATCCATAATCAATCTTCCTATGACTCACCTTCCTCATCCTTCCTTCGCTGCCTCACCCCATCCATCCTCAATTCACACGTGGTTCGCCCACCTCATCCTTCCTTTGCTGCCTCATCACATCCATCCTCAATTCACCTATGGTTCACCTACCTCATCCTTCCTCCGCTACCTCACTCCATCCATCTCTAATTCACCTATGGTTCACCTACCTCATCCTTCCTCCGCTACCTCACCCCATCCATCCTCAATTCACCTATGGTTCACCTACCTCATCCTTCCTCGGCTATCTCACTCCATCCATCTCTAATTCACCTATGGTTCACCTACCTCATCCTTCCTCCGCTACCTCACCCCATCCATCCTCAATTCACCTATGGTTCACCTACCTCATCCTTCCTCCGCTACCTCACCCCATCCATCCTCAATTCACCTATGGTTCACCTACCTCATCCTTCCTCCGCTACCTCACCCCATCCATCCTCAATTCACCTATGGTTCACCTACCTCATCCTTCCTCCGCTACCTCACCCCATCCATCCTCAATTCACCTATGGTTCACCTACCTCATCCTTCCTCCGCTACCTCACCCCATCCATCCTCAATTCACCTATGGTTCATCTACCTCATCCTTCCTCCGCTGCCTCACTCCATCCACCCTAATTCACCTATGGTTCGCCTACGTCATCCTTCCTTTGCTGCCTCACCCCATCCATCCTCAATTCACCTATGGTTCACCTACCTCATCCTTCCTTTGCTGCCTCACCCCATCCATCCCTAATTCACCTATGGTTCACCTACCTCACCCGTCCTCTGCTGATCCACTCTATCCATCCTCAATTCACTTATGGTTCACCTACCTCATCCTTCCTTCACTGCCTCATCCCATCCATCCTCAATTCACCTATGGTTCACATACCTCATCCTTCCTCGGCTATCTCACTCCATCTATCTCTAATTCACCTATGGTTCATCTACCTCATCCTTCCTCCACTGCCTCACTCCATCCACCCTAATTCACCTATGGTTCACATACCTCATCCTTCCTCGGCTATCTCACTCCATCCATCTCTAATTCACCTATGGTTCACCTACCTCATCCTTCCTCCGCTACCTCACCCCATCCATCCTCAATTCACCTATGGTTCACCTACCTCATCCTTCCTCCGCTACCTCACCCCATCCATCCTCAATTCACCTATGGTTCACCTACCTCATCCTTCCTCCGCTACCTCACCCCATCCATCCTCAATTCACCTATGGTTCACCTACCTCATCCTTCCTCCGCTACCTCACCCCATCCATCCTCAATTCACCTATGGTTCATCTACCTCATCCTTCCTCCGCTGCCTCACTCCATCCACCCTAATTCACCTATGGTTCGCCTACGTCATCCTTCCTTTGCTGCCTCACCCCATCCATCCTCAATTCACCTATGGTTCACCTACCTCATCCTTCCTTTGCTGCCTCACCCCATCCATCCCTAATTCACCTATGGTTCACCTACCTCACCCGTCCTCTGCTGATCCACTCTATCCATCCTCAATTCACTTATGGTTCACCTACCTCATCCTTCCTTCACTGCCTCATCCCATCCATCCTCAATTCACCTATGGTTCACATACCTCATCCTTCCTCGGCTATCTCACTCCATCTATCTCTAATTCACCTATGGTTCATCTACCTCATCCTTCCTCCACTGCCTCACTCCATCCACCCTAATTCACCTATGGTTCACATACCTCATCCTTCCTCGGCTATCTCACTCCATCCATCTCTAATTCACCTATGGTTCACCTACCTCATCCTTCCTCCGCTACCTCACCCCATCCATCCTCAATTCACCTATGGTTCACCTACCTCATCCTTCCTCCGCTACCTCACCCCATCCATCCTCAATTCACCTATGGTTCACCTACCTCATCCTTCCTCCGCTACCTCACCCCATCCATCCTCAATTCACCTATGGTTCACCTACCTCATCCTTCCTCCGCTACCTCACCCCATCCATCCTCAATTCACCTATGGTTCACCTACCTCATCCTTCCTCCGCTACCTCACCCCATCCATCCTCAATTCACCTATGGTTCACCTACCTCATCCTTCCTCCGCTACCTCACCCCATCCATCCTCAATTCACCTATGGTTCATCTACCTCATCCTTCCTCCACTGCCTCACTCCATCCACCCTAATTCACCTATGGTTCGCCTACGTCATCCTTCCTTTGCTGCCTCACCCCATCCATCCTCAATTCACCTATGGTTCACCTACCTCATCCTTCCTTTGCTGCCTCACCCCATCCATCCCTAATTCACCTATGGTTCACCTACCTCACCCGTCCTCTGCTGATCCACTCTATCCATCCTCAATTCACTTATGGTTCACCTACCTCATCCTTCCTTCACTGCCTCATCCCATCCATCCTCAATTCACCTATGGTTCACATACCTCATCCTTCCTCGGCTATCTCACTCCATCTATCTCTAATTCACCTATGGTTCATCTACCTCATCCTTCCTCCACTGCCTCACTCCATCCACCCTAATTCACCTATGGTTCACATACCTCATCCTTCCTCGGCTATCTCACTCCATCTATCTCTAATTCACCTATGGTTCGCCTACCTCATCCTTCCTCCGCTACCTCACCCCATCCATCCTCAATTCACCTATGGTTCACCTACCTCAACCTTCCTCCGCTACCTCACCCCATCCATCCTCAATTCACCTATGGTTCATCTACCTCATCCTTCCTCCACTGCCTCACTCCATCCACCCTAATTCACCTATGGTTCATCTACCTCATCCTTCCTCCACTGCCTCACTCCATCCACCCTAATTCACCTATGGTTCACCTACGTCATCCTTCCTTTGCTGCCTCACCCCATCTATCCTCAATTCACCTATGGTTCACCCACCTCACCCGTCCTCCACTGCCTCACCTCATCCATCCTCAATTCTCTTATGGTTCATCTACCTTATTCATCACCCCCGCCTCCACCCTCAATCCTCCTATGATTCACCTACCTCACCCGTCCTACCTTCCTCTACTGCCTCACCTCATCCATCCTCAATTCCCCTACCTCACCTGTCCTCCACTGCCTCACCTCATCCATCCTCATTTCACCTGTGATTCACCTACCTCACCTCATCCATCAATTCACCTATGATTCACCTACCTCACCTCAACCATCCTCAATTCACCTATGTTTCACCTACTTCCACCAGTCCTCCTTTCCTCCAGTGCCTTACCTACAACATCCATCTTTCCTTCCCCCATCTCCTCACCTACTCCTGCATCATCGGTCCTCTGTTCTCTCACCAACTCTACTTCATCACCATCTCACCAACTACATTCATCCTTCTTTCACACCCACTTCCTACCTCATCCATCCTCCCTTTTTCCACCTTGTCTATCCCAACCATCCTTCCTTCCTTCTCCAACTCACCTACCTTATCCATACTGCCTTCCTGACCTCACCTGTACTTCCCCCATTTCCTCACCTCCTCCTACCTCAGTCCTCCAACCCTCACTAACCAAATCCATTTTTTCACCATCAATACCTATCCCACACCCGTCCTCCCTCCCCCACCTCACCTGTACTCGCCCCATTGGCTCACCTCCTCCTACCTCAGTCCTTCATGTCCTCACTAACCACATCCATCCTTTCACCACCAATACCTACCCCACCCGGCCTTCCTCCCCCACCTCACCTGTACTTCCCCCACTTCCTCTCCTACCTCATTCTTACTCTTTTCCCTGCCTCACCTATATCATCTATCTTCTCTACCCACTTTATCAGTTCTTCCCTTCCTTTGCTGATTCACCTACCTCATCCATCCTCCACTCTGCCACTGCCTCACTTACCTTATCCATCCTCAATCCCCCTGTGATTCACCTGCCTTATCAGTCCTCCTTTCCTCCACTGCCTTACCTACCTCATGCATCCTCCCTTCCCCCACCTCCTCAACTACTCCTGCATCATGCATCCTCTCTTTCCCTCCCCTGCCACCTCATCAGTCCAATTTCCTCAACGCCTAACCAACTCTAATTCGTCACCTTCCACATCCATCCTTCTTTCATCACCTTACCTACCTCAAATGCCCTCCCTTCCCCCACCTCACCTGTCTTCCCTTCTCTCACCACCTCAACTGTCCTTCCCTCCCCCACCGCCTCACTTACCCTCGTCTGTCCTTCCTTCCCCCACCATCTCATTTATTTCATAAGTACTCCCCTTCTTCCCCATATAACCTACCTCATCAGTTTTTCCCCACATCCTCACCAATTCTACTTCTGCCTCACCTACCGCGTCAGTTTTTTTCCATGCCTCAGCTGCCACATCTGTCCTCCCTTCCCTGCCTCACCTACTTCATTTATCTTCCCTTCTCCTCTTCAGCTACCTCACCTGCCCTTCCCTGCCTCTTCACCTACTCCATCCATCCTCTCTTCCCCCACTGCCTCATATCCATCCTCCCTTTCCCTTTTCCGCTGCCTTGCCCACTCTACCTCATCCATTCTCCCGTAGCCTCACATACCTCATCTGTCCTTCCCTCCCTTGCTGCCTCACCTACATGCTCATTTTTCCTATAGCCTCACTTACCACATCCATCCTCCCTTCCTCTATCGCCTCACCTACTGCACCTCATTCATCCTTCCTTTCCCTACCATCTCACTTCATCCCTCCTCCTCACCTACTCTACTTTATATGTCTTCTCTTTCCCCACCGCCTCTTCTACCACGCCTATCTTCCCTGCCCTTGCCTCACCTACCTCCCTTCTTCACCTCATGTACCTTATCCATTCTCCTGTCCCCTCCTCACTTACCTCATCCATCCTACCATATCCACTCTCCCCCCTCCCCACCACATCCATTCACTATTCCCTCATCATGGAAGGAGGAAGAATCAGCCATGGAAAGGATCTGAGGGTGCTTGTAGATCACATTCTTGGCAATAGCATGCAATGCCAAGCCACAGCTAACGAAGCTAGACAAATACATACCTCCATTAAAAGAGGTATACATTCTAGAGAGAAAATCAATATTTCTACCTCATTACAAAACACTGGTTTGGTCTCACACATAGTCCCAATTTGAGGTTAGAAGAAAAGAGATTTAACCGTAGATTGTGAAAATAATTCTTTACTGTTAGAGCAGTAAAAATGTGAAACTCCCCCCCTGCAAGTGGCATTAGCTGACAATGTTGACAACTTCAAAACCTTTTAGATGTCTTCCTCAGGATGTAGAAAATACAGGGCTATGGGAATTGTGAGAAAATAAATGCACACAGGTTGAACTGCCTGGACCTGTGT